TTACTATTAATTATAATAATAATACTTCCAAGGGTTAATGTTTTCCGATTGGTCTCAGTATTAGTAGTAGTAGTAGTAGCTCAATGGCTAATGTTTTGACGTCTTTAAAAGGCAAGGGTTCTGGGTTCGAGCCTCTCTCTGTGTCTGTTGAACATCAATATTTCGATGCTGATGTATTCGAATGATGAGTCCTAAAGTAGGATGATACACGCGTCTTGAGTCACTATCTCACTCTGCTAAACCATTATAATTGTCTAGTCCTAAATACCAATTACGAAGTATTAGTTCCTTCAAAAAGTTTCAATATACACCTTGTAACAAATATCATCTAATTAACTAACATACGATTACGGTTATCGATTTATTTTGATCATAAACTGATGCAAAGTGTGAACCACTCGAGGGGGGTCATTAGACAGTTGTCGTTGTCGCAATTTCATTAAGGTTTAGCAACGCACTTACCTATGATTGATTTTCAACACCGTTCCCCTCAGATGTACTGTACTTACAAGTCTAAATAAATAAGTTTGTCCTGGAAATTATCATATAGGATAGATGGATTGTAGCTAAATGAGTCCAGTTGGCCACTCGTCAGTTGTATTGATATACCTGTATCACAATGTTGATTTCAATTCCATTGGGACCTGGATCCAGTAGCTTTCATTTCAAACGCACAACTCATTTTCCCACTGATCTACTAATCGACATTTCATCAAGATTATGAACAGTGAGCTAATTCAAATGCTTTCTGATAATTGATATGAAATGTATACCAGTTTCCAGGTATTATCAGGTTGATACAATAATCAATGTAACATGTAATGGCGAGAAATATTTATCTACATAAGAGTAGATAATTTAGAAAGATGTAAATGTTGAATAATTTTTACGATACATTTATCCCTTGTGAAGCAACATTTGAAAATCCTGGTAACAGAAGTAAGATGTCATGTTTAAGTGTGGATTCGTGTAGCAATGAACAATTCCAGTGTTGTTACAACATATCTTATCTCAACATAGTGCACGCAATGTCAAGTGACCTAGATTGTTGGCCATATTGCAATTCGGTCTATAGGATTCGATCTGCACTCAGAACGACTTGACGTACATGACATTCATCACCACATAGTGATCAGTCAATTGTAGGTGGTTTATATGTCCAACTAAAATCGATTCACGAGACCATATCTCAATGGTACCGTTAGATAATTGCTTCACATTTAACATGATTGAATTTCATTGATCATAGATTTTCGCTAAGTCTCCATGAACTATCTCTCAAAATTAGTCACTATTGAACAACTATCGATCGCTTCCTGATTTTAAATAATTGATGTAGACCATTAAAAAAATTATTTTTAAGGTTTAAGGGGTGCTCGAAATATGTATAGATAAATAGGTTCCAATAAGTGTATTAGCAAATGTTCATCAATTCATACTTTCATCTAATCTCTTTGATATCTTTGGTCAAAAATGGAGATCATTCTCAGTCTGAATAGATCGGTGATAACGTGTCTGACTATGAAGCTTGGTAACTCAGGTTATGATTCTATTGGGAGCGTCAGTTCCCTCAAGATTACAAGTACATCTTGATGAAAAGTAGTAACTAGCACAAAACCTAAGTCATTATAGGGTTTTCTGTTGATTTCCTCAAAAAACTACCTTATATCTCAGCATGGTGCACACGATATTGAGTCATTTAGACCAGAGACCACATTACAACCTGAATGATAAAAATTCGATTAGCACTCAGTGACTAGACAAATACCTTATTGGCCACTACTCATTGATTAACTAATTGCAAATATCATGTTTTAGGGTTATAAAGTAGCAGAGAGTAGACAGTTACTCAACTGTAGCACAAGTTAATACAAAACGAAAGGGATTTTTGTATCTGTGCCAACATTTTGACACCATACGCAACCTCTTCATTGAGATCAGTCTGATTATGTGTATATATGTATGAAAGGTGATAAGTTTTACTCATGACATGTGAAACTGTTATTTGACCTATAAAATGGATAAAGATTAACTTTTTCGACAGAATATCACACTACTCAAATCCATGAGTAACATAAGTGGTATTATCTTTTCGTTAACGTATATTGATTACATCTCTTTATTTGTATGTGTATTGTATGTCCTAGTTTTTTCCATCTAATCATCATTCACTTGTCTACTATTTATTAATGTCACAATGTCTTGAACTAGGTGTCGGCCAGTCGAACTTAATCAGCTGTTGTATCGAAAATAAATTGGTTTTAATCTAGTTTACGTCATTTCAGTAAACCAAACTGTATGTCTAGACAGATAAATCTCATGTTTAGAAAACAGAAACCGGGTCAAGGTCAACGGATATGTGCTTGTTTGTTTACTTGTTTGTTCGTTCGTTTATTGTTTGTTTGTTTGTACTTGGTCCGCTTTATAGACATCCATTTATATTCTTATAGAAGAAAAAGGATAGAAAGTGTAGATGGTGTACAAAATTGAAACATATTTAGTGTTTGGTTTCTCTCAGTTTGTTACAATTTTGAGATAGACTACATATACAGGGATAAATGCACATGTTCACACAAATCTGGAGTTAAGATAGGAAAACAATGTAAACAATAGGAGGAGGAGGAGGAGGAATAAGAAGCAAACTGAATGATTTTATAGTTTAAAACATGATTAATCAATTGTTTGTGTGTCTAGAATTAGAACAAATAAGTTTGAACAGTTTAATTAATTAATAAAACCACCCAAGAATTAATGTTAGAACATCAGAATTAAGAAGGCATATTTATAATATTCATTAAAGGTTGGATTCGTGGTTAGTAACGGAAAATAGGAGGGGTGTTTCGTTTTATCTGGGACTCGTCAACTGGATAAACTTGTATTTCAGTGTTGATGTTCACACTAATTCTGGAACACAATACCTATCACTTTAAATGTTCAGCGTGCTATGCACTTAGCTGTTGATTCTAAATATTCATTAGCTTATGCAACAGGTATAAATTTTATTTGTAAGGGCTTGTGTTTTCACGTTGTTGGTGTTAGGGTTTGTAATTGCTCACTCTCTATTGTATGTGTGCAACCTGAGAAGGTTGTCTCGATATTCATTTGGTCAGTTAGTCATAAACAATTAGAACCTGATATACGTGTTCATCGGTTCAAGTTACCATATCACATTAATACAGTGAGATGAAATTATCGATTTTCAAAAGGCATATTTTATATTCGTAACAATGAGCATCTGCCGTTTACTCATCTTCAGTTGCGAAAGTTGTTCACCGATTTGACTGATTGGAGTTGTTTCTGAATGGTATTTTTCACCCTAAAGACTCCAGACGGAATCGCTAGTTAAATTGATATAACAATTTCTACCTATCCACCATATATTCTGACTGTAGCTGCTGATTTGATGTGGTGGTCAGGCTTGTCTATTGTGATGACTGAGTCGAGCTATATTGGGTGTAAAACATGTTCTTTTAGGTTCTGCCATGTCAGGGATGTCGGTTGGATAATGCTAAGACTAAAAGTAGTAACTTAATGTCCGAGAGTGAAGTTTTACTGATGACTGTGGGAGGAGGTTGACAACAGTGAGGTGTTTTCCTCAGACAACCAGCATCTGCAGCAATGCCAAACCAAAACATGACACCAGGTTATGAAATCACTGACAATTAGACTAAGCCATGTAGCTAGGCGTAGACTACGTGGTTGGGATTGGCGTGATTATCGTAACCAATGATTAGAGACTGTGGATGACATGATTCAGAATCGTTTGTGATGATGGAAGTTCATTGAATCTTCATCTTCTCTTAGATTGTAAAGTTTTGAATCCGTGATAATTTTTTTTTGTTTGGAACCGTATCTTCTATGTCTGACCTTTTCAGTTACTACGTCTACTACTCCGCGCTTCACAGGTACGAGGTTCTACGTTGCAACTAACTGACTGACTTATCTATTATATATGAAATGTTTAAATTCCAGTGTATTCATTAGACTATCATTGTTTCTGTCTTCAAAGATTGATAGGGAAGAAAATTATATCTCGTATTTGCCATCGCAGTAACTTGTAATGTACTCAAAATTCTTTACTTATTTCTTTGTGTTTGTAATGCTTGGAGCTATTGACTGACACTAACTAGCTTACAGTTAGTTACTTATATACATGTAAACCATACATGATATATCATTTTCACATCAACCTTCAGTCATCCTTTATATGCTCCATAATTCTTTCAATTCTATTGTTATTACAATTTTTCACTGTTTCCCTTCTCATTCTCTTCAATTCAGTCTTCCATTGACAGGCATTTCAATTCCGATTGCTGCTACATACTACTTATATCTGCCAGCATAAGTATATATATATATGATTTATATCATTATTCGTAAGAGTTTGAATTATCCCGTTGTTGATATTCAGAACCGAATTTTCGATCAGTCTTTGTTGATATATGTGAATCTAGTACACATTGCTTTGATATAGGGATTCTGTCAAATGTTTTACAGAATAAATAAATTGGGGATAACAATGGAATCCAGTAGATGGGAATCTCATCCTATTTCCAACTTGTCAGTTGAATGTACTTGCGTCCTAGTATTGATATATTTTTTATTAAGACTAATAGTGATATAAATATCATATTCGTTGAATAATTTAACGGTTATCTAGACTTATTAATTTGGGGATACCACTTTGAGCTTTTGGAGTGAAAGGTATTAGGCACTCGCCGCAATGTAATAAATACCAAAACTGGAATGTGCGGGTACATCAAGCTGATGAGTCTGAAACTTGAAGAATTACGTTTCCTGGATTTTACTACTAACCATATTACATCTATTCCATAAACATAAAAGTGTGAAGAATAGAAAATCTATCAACCATACAATTAATATAACACTAGATAGTTTCGCTTATCTATCTCTCTTCCTTTTTCCTATATTTTTTCCCAGTTCAAACGCATGTGTTTTCCCATCTCTCATTATTATTATTATTATTTTTATTATTATAGACACTTGAATAAAACACATCAATTATCATTACAAGCCCTTGCTCAAGTTGAAGTATGTGCATCAAGGTTAGAATTGTACTTGAGAACAGTAAGTGTCTTTTCTTTCATCCATATAAGAATTATTATTATATATGATGAAACTTTCCTGTGTATGTGTTCAATTATTTTCAAAGAAGTAATAAGCAAATAAAATGGTTGAATTTATGGGTCGATTTATGCTAAACCACCATGAAAAACCTGGAAGCACTGGACGGCCGTTTCGTCCCAGTGTGGGTTCGAGTCCTATGTGTGGGATCGTGGGTGCTCAATGCTGAGGAGTTCCACACTAGGATAAAATGACCGTCTAGTGCTTCCAGGTATTCCAAGGTGATCTAGCTTAAATCAACTCATGAATTCAACTATTAGATTACTACAATCTTCACAAACCCCCATTCTGAAAATAAACTGGTACTACTTAAAATTTACATACGTAATGCATTGATGAGTAGCTGTAAACTGATGATAAAAGTTGAAGTATAACGAGCGATGAAACCAGTAAGAATGTCGTGAGCCTTCAAAAAATTTAACTAGATATAAAGTTTATGATTATTCCAACAGTTGAAATCAATTATTGTCAATTGCTTAAAGGATTTTATGTTGGCTATGATCGATCGACCAACCGACTGACTGAAGATATCCGTCTGTCAACTAAATAACCTGTTTACTGAGTAGTAGTTTGCTTCATTCGACTTCATGGATGAGAAATATGAGTATTCAGAATAGGTGATATTTATAAGTTACTAGTATTCGGTTGTTGATGTCTTGGAAGTATCACTCATGAATTTTGGGACCACCGAGAAAGTAAGGTAAAGATGGCAAATCGACTGACGAGGTAGTAAATCTTCATAAAGTGGGGTGGTTGAGACGTGTGTTACGTTTTCTTAACCACTGCCTACCTCGACGGCGAATGTTGTGTGGTGTAGGGGTAGACTGAAAGAAAACTGGGGGCAGCCAAACCAAAACATGACACCAGGTTATGAAATCACTGACAATTAGACTAAGTCATGTAGCTAGGTGTAGACTACGTGGTTGTGATTGGCGTGATTATCGTAGCCAATGATTGGAGACTTTGAATGACATGATTCAGAATCGTTTGTGATGATGGAAGTTCATTGAATCTTCATCTTCTCTTAGATTGTAAAGTTTTGAATCCGTGATAATTTTTTTGCTTCACCAATCTATTTTTTTAAATCGTATTTTTTATGTTTGATCTTTTCTACTACCACTGATGCTGTTACTACCTCTGGTACTCTAGAATTTAACCTAAAAATCCCATCTCTTTATGCTAATAGAGTGCAGGAACTTGAACTGATGTACATACATACCTGGTTCGACGTAGCGGCCAATTGACGGACTGACTGAAGGGTTAACTGACGCTCTCTCTCTCTCTCTCTCTCTCTCTATATATATATATATATATATATATATATATATATACGTTTGATCGTTCTAATCTACCACAAAGGATTTACTTATCCAAATAGTATTGAACTTTATGTGTTCTTAAGGGCTTGTATTTTACCGTTGTTGATGTTTACGACTACAATCGATCAGTCTCGTTCGGCATATGTGCATCGTCAGCGGATGGCTATTTAGTCAGAGTTTTTGTTCATATTGCATTGTGGCTGACAGTGGAGAATTGGTATAAAGATCGACCCTACTGATTAAATTCCACTAATTACATCTCAACAGAACTCCGGGATTTACCTCTTGAAATTAGTCACTAATAAGTGCATAATACTGTTAATGTATAAAGTAATGGAGTAATATGAATCAATCGATGTTAGATCACTATTAAAACCTGGAAGCACTAGACGGTCGTTTCGTCCGACTGAAGGTCCTGGGTTTCAATCCTGCGTACGGGATCGTGGATACGCACTTCTGAGGAGTCCCATGCTAGGATAAAACGGCCACCAGTGTTTCCAGGTTTTCAGTGGTGGTCTGATGTCGCTCGATTCATGATCTCATTCAAGAGACATTAATGAATTGTCAAAGTTTACACTTTGTCTTTATCTGCTCTCCAATAGGTATTGGTTCACGAATGGAACCTGATTCGACAATCACAAATTATCCATATGTATATAATAATCTTTCAATGAATTACTTACACTCTACTAGCCCTATTCATTTAACAGAAGAAACTAGTCGTCGATCTGGAAATATTGTCATCCGATTGACAACGTTCCAGATAATGTTGATATAATAATAATATATAATATAATATAATATAATAATATAATGGTCAGTCACACTATTACTTTTTACCATCAGATCAACAACAATTAAGTACTCATCAATCTAAAGGAGAAAAATCTTTAAAAAGTAATATGACACCACAACCATATTGGTGTCTAGATCTTGGTGTTCCAGTGTATGAAGCTATACAACCTATCAATAATATGAATGATGTATTGGAACCTCCAGCTTCTCCAGCGGATTTACCAATTTCTATTCCTACTACTTACAGACTATCTAAATTTGCAATAAATCCCAATGTAACAAATCGAACTGGTAGTCTACCAGGTCCTATAGCATTCATTCCATCCGATTTAAATATACCTCGACAAATGCAGAACAGTGTCAATATAAATAATGATAATAATCATAATAACAACAATAGTAATGATACATTAAATCAAAAAACTTGGCATTATGGTTTACGACCTATTAATAGTATACCAAAAGATTTTCTTAATTTCACTTGTTCAAAACAACAACAACAACAACCACATCAAAAATCTACCAATATCATTGCTATTGATCCTGATCAATTATCTAATCATTTGAATATAGATTTTGATCAAACTCATATAAATTCAACATTGAATAGACAAGAACAACAATTTATGAAAAGAGATTATCATTCAACTAATACTAATCATTTGAATAGATTCAATCAATGGTTTTTCAATCCATTCAATTCATTTCGTAATCGAATAAAAAGTATACGATTTAAAAAAGATGCTTCAAATAATTGTCAAACTACTAATACTACTTATACTACTACTACTACTAATAATAATAATAATAATAGTTATTCACCAGTTGTTTCAATGACCAATTCTACTTCTTCATCTTCTAATACTATTTATTATAGAAATGTGAATAGTGCTACAGAATTAACTTCAACTTTTGAAATCACATCATCATCATTACCTAAAATTCAAATAGATGATATTTCTATTCAATCTACTGGAACTTTACCAAGAACACGTAATCGATTAAAACCTTGTTCACGTATATTTTCACGAAAGAAAGTTACAGGAAGAAAATAATTATTATTATTATTATTCCCGTTGACATTGTTGTTGTTATCATCGTCTGTCTATGTATGCATTCATGCATGGAATGTATGTATGTATTTTTTTTTACATGTATATCAATTTCTTCATATACAGAGTTGGGTAGAAGCGATACAAGATCTCGTTTTTCACACATACACACACACACATAGTATATATATCCTATTTGTTATTAGTGTTGTTGATGTCGTCGGTTTATCGATTTCCTGTTCACATAAGTTTTCTTTGATTCTTCTCCCCTATCGCCAATACCAATCATGATGATGATGACTTGATTACACGTTTTTTTTATTTTATAGTACATATAGCAACTCAATAATGCTATTTATTTGATCATTTTTTTGTAAAATCTATTTTGTACAATTTATTCACCAACTGGCTCTCTATTATTCTGTTTTATTATACGGAATAAAAAAAGATGACAATGTTTAATGTCCCAATAGCTAGCCTTATGTCTGTTTGTTTGGTGAGTTTTTTTATTCACTGAGTTTGCTCACTCGTGTGTCCAATAATTTTTGTGTGCTAGAGGTTGTCTCTCTTTATCACCATCTCGTTTATTTCATTTTCATGCTCTTCTTCATTGTATTCCTCTTTTCCTCACTCACTCTCTCTCTTAGATTCTTTTTGCAAAATTTCAGTTACCGTTGTCGGTATAGAATTATGTTTCTGTTTTTCCCCTTTACATCTTCACACAAAACTTGTCTCATTTGTAAATAGTATGTAAATTTTAACTGCACACACACACACACACATAAAGATGATAGTCGTGTATTTATGCCGAGCATTTTTTTCTAAAATCAAAACTTCTCAAATTATCTCTAATGCTTTTACAATTTCTCTCGATTTCTGCTTCCGTTTTATCCTTAATCATCAATTGTCTTATAGAACTGAAAACATAAGTTTCTCGGCTTAGTTTAATTCCTTTTCTCATTTCAGCATGCAACTTTGTTAGCAATTACGATTACTATTCTTTCGTAATGTTCCATAGTGTGCGTGTGTTTACACGCATGACTTTATGGTCATGTGTATACCCTGCACACCTAGATTGTTCCTGTGTTTGCACACAAATAAACTCACATTCACACGCACATCACGTATCCAAAATGCCTATATGTATTTTTTTTAATTGTTTAATGTCTTGTGTTACTTACGAGTAGTATGATTTGAGTGAAAACAATTCCTGAGTACTTTGTTTTCAGTTTGAAAATTCATGCTTATATGAGTAATGCATTACTAGGCTTATTATTATATATATATATATATATATATATATATATATATAGTCAGTGTAATTGCAACATTCTTCTGCAATTATTCGTTTTTTGCGTTGTTAAGTTTTTAAACTTGGCGATTGAATGGTATATCATTCTGAACAACACCATCAAACGCCTAGTTGATATGGAAATGAGTTGTTTAGTTATTCCACATACATTAACGTAATTTCTCCTAATCACATTCTTTATAAATGGTTGTGCTTTTAGGTACCGCTATCCTCATTTTTCCGTGTATTCCTATTGATTATCGTGTTCAGCTGACCTCTAACCATGTGACTGATTGCCCTCTTTCGTCAAAGTTGTTAAAATGAATCGGTCTACCTATTCATTACCGATAAATGAGAATCCTACACTTTTACAAATTCCTTAGCATTTTCAACGTTCTCTCGATCTAGAGTTTTGATATATTTCTGTTTGATTGTAAACAACATAGGGGTAGTTTATAACTTCTTAATCTTTTCTTTTCATTACGGGATCAATTGCATTTATTCATGCATGATCAAGTCTTCAGAATCCTAATTATTTATTTATTTATTTGAACATTGGTACAAGGGGGCACCAAATACATATATGCCATACAATAACAATGAAGCCAGTAGTAGTTATCATTGGTTTGTGTGAGCGCTATGATTCTGCCCGGGTACCCAAACCGAAACAGGTGATTTTCATAAGCGGCCATTCCCTGAGCCTTCGACTTACACAAGTCAGTGGAACAACGTTAGGAAATGCAGTCTCATGGTAGCCGGTGACCAGCAGTAGGTTCATATGCCACTTGTCTCCCCAGGATACCGTAGCGCATGTGCACCATTGGTTTGGAATGAGAGCTTTCCAACTCCCCTAGTTGGACCCTCCGTGTCCGCCAACCTGGTTAAAGCGTCGGAAATTTGCTTTTCGTCCTCTCAATTTCAGAATCCTAAACTGAATAGATTTCAGAAAACATATTCATTAGTCAAAGGAAATCAGTTCGCGTAAATCATGTATTTGGTGAAGTAAAGTTCTTAATTCATATATACAAGAATAGTGTAACTATGAATTACTTGTCGCTATGACAATAAACACTTCTTGCAACAAAAATCTGGTAAAAAATATGCATCTCGAATCAAGTTTTCACATATAGTCGGTGTCACAATATTTATATCAGTCAATGTATTCATTCTTCACAATAAATAGTTATATTCAATTGATCTTTCTTTATCGGTTCATGTTTGACAACCATACTTAAAAGTATACTTTGCCGTTAACAGTATCCAGTTACCGATGAAGTGACCTTGGTAAAATGAAAACCTATTTTTAGCCTATCGGAATGTAGGAGATATGGATGAATCATTTACTGTCAGAAAGGGGATTTGTGGAGATTGTAGCAATTTTTCTTAATAGTTAAATTCACGAATCGATCTAAGCTAGACTACCATTGAAAACCTGAAAGCACTGGATGGGTGTAGGTCCTGGGTTCGAGTCCCGAGTGAGGAATCATGGATGCTCATTGGTCAGGAGTCCCATACTAGGACGAGACGGCCATGTTGATCTATCTTAGATCGGTTGGTGAATTCAATTATTGAGTAATTTACTGAATAAAATTCCCAAATAAAGATCAAGAATAGGATGCTTGATTTTCGATTTTTGGTTAAAAGTTTGATCCACAATTAGTATTTTAGGTCAGTGTATGAAATTTAGATACGAAACATGACTTACAGTTGAGAATATGATTTAAAGTAAGAAATGATCGTTAGAAATAGAATGAACACTGTCTTATAAGCTATATAAATGAATATTTATACAATTGGTTTCTTCTATTTTAAAAATTAGGAAACTTCAATCTACCGTTTAAAAAAATTCCATATTATCATTTACTAACCCTCATATACTTGAAGGAAAGTGGCTCGAAGTTAAATGAACGAAGCTGTTGCTTGGTGAATTCGCTAAAGCCCCGATATGGCCGAGGGAGGGAGGAGTTAGTTCTCCCTCTCGAAAAACTCAGAAATGGCCTCGCGTATACAGCCACTATCAGAGAAGTCCTACTGACTGCCTTCTCGCGGTGGGGTTGTTGTTTATGAAGTCGGGAGGGTGAAAAGCGAATATCTAACGCTTTAGTCGGGTTGGTGGATATGAAGGACTCACCTAGAGGGAGTTGCGAAACTCTGATCCCAAACCAATGGTGAACATGGGCTCCAGGATTCTGAGGGGACAAATGGCTTATGAACCTACATAATCATTGTTGATGATAATCACGTAGACCTTAACCAAGTAGTCTATACCCATCTAGATAGCTTAGTTCAACTGTCACCATCTTTGTGCGTGATATCATTTCTTGATTTGGTTACTTCTTACCTAATCATGGATTTCTGATCATATGGTTCTCGAAATCTTCCTTCTTATGTTCTGTTTCTCTGAATTTTCAACAAACTTTAGTAAAATTGAATAATGACTGTCAGTTGGATGCAGAACGCACGTTTCATCTTACTTGTGATTTTTGAATTGAATGTACGTACATCCCAATGTTATTGTTTCCACTAAAACTCAAACCTAGTATCTGTTGTGTATCAACAAATTCGGCTGCTCTTATGGAAAACGCTGTAGCGGACATATAACTAAACAGGTTAATGAATACCCTTCTTCGTGATCGGTGAAAAGCATAACAAAAATAATATTCAGCCCCGTTCTATCACATTTGGTCAATAGTGATTATGTAACAGATAGAGCTAAACCATTCAAAGTAATGTATGTTTCTATTTATTTTGTTCTTGTATATATCAGAATCTATTGGGATCCTAGCTAACTACCCAAGCTCTTTATTCATAAGGAATTTATAACACTTTTATCCCTTCATTGGTCGAGTTAGGCTTAACAAACTGGTTCATTTATTATTATTATTTTCTGTACCCTTTGTTTTCCCTCACTTTTTTAAAATTATTTGAACGCTACTTAAGACATAGTTATAGTGATTTTATTAGATATCATTTTGATAAGTCTTGCGAATTGAACGCTATATTCGTTTCCTAAGCTATTCTGGAAACCCTCAAGCTAGAACTATACAGCGACCTGAACACACGAGAGAAGACGCTCAATATGCGAGAAAATACTTTACTCCAAGGTTCGTTTTTGTACAGAAAACACGGGTATTTATAGATGTTAACATTTGTTAAATCAACATCATATTTTAGCCAATCCGCTAAAAGACATATTATGCTACTGGCCAATAGTAGCACGCCACGTTAATATTCTAGAAAGCTCCATCATGCTCTGACTGGCTAGGACTCTTCGGCTCCTCTAGGGTCTCTGGAGACTATGTTGCAGTTCTCGGAAAGCCGACTCAATGCATTTCAATGTCTATTTTTCGACCTACTTTCTATTATGAAACATTGATTTAAATCTTTATTATTCTTATCATAACTATTATACCTATTATCTCACTATTAAAACTTATACTTTTTGCCTATTATACAGTCTACTGTATTGTGATCATTGACTTGTAAACTACATTGGTTATTTTAATATTTTCATATACCTGTATAAAGTTTACCAACCACTAAGTCGGTATCCAACGGTGTTAATGTCTAACTTCAGTCGATCCATGATCGTACTAAACCCTTTATTCATTGTCTGAGGTAGATAACTGTCTCCACCCGACACAAATTGGACTCCAATGGCCACAGCCTCTCACTAAATATGTGGAAATTTTAAGTTGATTGGATGCGTTCA